TGCAAATACCAGGCGTCACTGGTCTCCGGCCGACTATTTATGGCACTCACTTCAATATTCAATATCGAAGACATTGCCTTGCAATACTAGCGATCACCTTGTTAGTCTTCCCGTGGGATTTCTCATACTGTGGAGCCATTTCAAGCAACTATGATCAGTGATAACCTTCAAGTGATGACCTTCAATGTACGGCCGGAACTTTCCAATAGCCCATACCACTGCCAAGCACTCTATCTCGGAGACTGTATAATTCCTTTCAGCGCTGTTGAGTGATCGGCTGGCGTATTCTATCACACGTTCCTCTCCATTGACATCCTGCGTGAGCACTGCCCCGATCCCACTGTCACGGGGTCAGTTTGTAGTACAAACTGACCCCTAGGATCGGGTGGTTCCAATATTGGGGTGGAAGTCATCGCCTCATGCAACTTCGTGAAATCTCGCCCTTGCTCTTCCTCCCAAGAGAAACGTACATTCTTCTTTGTCAGGCGGTTTATAGGTTTAGCGATCATGGCAAAGTCAGGCATAAAACGTCTATACCATGACGTCATTCCCATGAATCGCTCAACCTATTTGATACTCCAGTATCGGTCTTATCTTCTCGGGATCTGGTCTTACTCCGTCCTAGTTCACAAGAACTTCTAAGTACCTGACTTCCGTCTTACAGAAGTGACTTTTGGCTTTGTTGATGGTTAGGCCTGCACCTAGAATTCTCTTTAATACCATTTCTAGATGCCGCTTACGCTCCTCCAATGACGACGAAACCACTATTAAGTCGACGAGGTAACCAAAAGCGAGTGGATCCATATCCGGGCCTATCACTTTATCCATCAACCTCTGGATGGTCGCTCCTACGTATGCCTGTCCGAAGAGCATTCTCTTGAATTGAAAGTGCCCTAATCCAGGTACTATAATCGCCGATATTGGACGCGACTCTTCCTTTAAGGGGATTTGATGGTACGCACTACTCAAATCCGGCGTAGATATGAACTTTGCATCCCTTATCCATCTCAGGTTGTCGTTTATATATGGTAAAGGATAGGCATCCGGTTTAGTGATTGCGTTTACCTTTTGGTAATTCACACAAAACCTATACTTTCCATCAGCCTTGTTTCCCATTGCCACTGGACTTGACCATCCGCTGGTCGCTGGTTCGATTACATCTTTTTCCAGCATATCCTTGACCAGCGCATGTATTTCCTCTCGTACCCTATCAGAAACTGGGTAGTACTTCTGTTTGATGGGTCGAGCACCTCCAACATCTATATCGTGCTCAACCCCCACAGTACAGCCTAAAGCCTGTCCTCCGTCAGGAATCAACCTCCTGACGAAGTCTTCGATTTCCTCAAGCTGTGTTTTCGTGGCCTCCCACAGTCCTACCGATGCCAGAAATGTCGTACCATCAATTCCAGCCACTTCCATAGGTACTTTTACTTGGGCGTCCTTCAACCATTACTCATTCTCATCGGGATCCAAAACTGCGCGGAACTCCCTTATAAAGTTCGCGCCTACGTAGCAGTCATCTGTGAGCAGTGGCGTAATGGTGACTCTAATTTTTCTTGTCATTCCCCCTACCTTATAGGGGAACATCACGTAACCAATAATGGGGCATAGGCGCCCGTCGGCGAGCCACATGGCCGCCCGTCCTGGTCACATTAAGCCCGAGTCCCATCTCCGATGCTAATGTTAGCCATAGCTGACCCATGACCGTAGATGAGGTGCCGGTATCATAAAGTGCTCTAATCTTAAAGTCACCTATGTCTACCCGCAACCACCTTCTGGTCTCATCCTCGGGGCCGTATCTACGAGTCGCATCCATCCCTTCATTCGTCGCGCTTTTCAGCGGCTTCTTCCCTTCCGCTGATGCTACGACGATGGGCTTGCTCGTACTCGTGGATTCCTTCGGCAGGGGAGTTTTTTGTGTAGAGGGGCCCGAACCTTTCAGGTCTTCGGGTTGCTCGATCCTTACATCAATCGAGTCTTCCCCCTTCTCCACAACTTGTATATGGCCACCTGGTCCTTCCAGGATGACCACCCTCCTACCCTGCCGAGGGCTGGTATCGGACTCAATCGCCTTCTCCTTTGAGGTACCGCTAGGTCCCGGGCTCTCTTGGTGCCCTACCGGGACCTGTTTGGATCCCTTGGTCGCCGAAAACTTGCTCTTTCCCGTCGACGATCCGCAGCGAGAGGTCGAATCTACTGGAGGCGCGAAGATGACCTTTTTTCTTCGCTCTCCTTACCGTTTCTCTTGTTGCAATCTGGGCAGAATTTACGGCTGAAACCTAGTTTGCCACAAGCGGATAACTGGAGAGGCTTCTTGAAGTCGATTTTCCGCCTCTGTCCTTCTCGCCGCTCGCCAGGAGACCTGGGAGAAGGAGAATTCTTCATTCCCCCACGCTATCATCTTTTACGCAGTTCTGGAGGGCTGTCCTGCCTTTCTTTGGCCAATTTGCGCAGGATTCTCTCAATGCCCTTCAGACGCTCCTCCATCTTCTTATCTGAAGTAGAGGTTTGTGTAGCTGATACCGTTGCTTGCTCGGTAGGCTTCCCGGCAGGGTTCTCCACGCTCTGTCCGCGCTACGGATCTCCCTCCTTCTTCGCACGCACCGTCCCTTCATCACCAGCCGTTCAGGTGATGGTCACCAGGTGATGGTCGCAGTTTTCCTCTGCGCTAAGGTTTTCCAACTCGTCACAGATTGTATCGAGCCATGCTTGTCGGGTGCGCCTCCTGCGCCCTGCCACCTCTTTACTGCGCGTGGTCTTCTCAAAATCTGTGACGGTGTACTCCCCCAGCAACCATTTCCCAAGCCTAGCCGCCTGCTGGATGACACTTCCAGCCTTGCGCAGCTCTAGATCCGCCTAGTAGCGTTTGCGCTAGTCGTTCGAACTAACATCGCAATTGTACGAATCGCGAACGGATCGATTAATCGAATCGATTACCGTTGCAGTTGTCAAAAAATATTGATATAAACCGAAGATATTGCTGTAATAGTATTTTAGGGGTTATTTTTGTGAGTGATTTTTCAGCTCTTACATTTATTTTCCTACAGACTAACATTGTCATTGTCTAGCCCACTTTTAAGCATCATAGCATATGGAAAATCAGCAAAACTGGTCATCGGGAACTAGTCATATAGTATTAATAGCGTTTAGGGGTATTTCATGCTTGAAATACATAAAATTGAAAAAACGCTGAAACATGTCAATTTTGATTTTACTATTTCCTACAAAAAAAATTATTTTTCAATTTTTTTATGATAGTTTTGCGACTCTGTAAACGAAAAATCTATTCAAAAAAAGTTTTTCCCCTGTACATCGTAGGGATTGCAACCCGCCAAATCCAAAACTATGCGATTTTGTTATTTTTTAAATAAAAAATTGTTTCCATTTTGTTTCATAAAAAAAGATTCATTACAACCAAAGTTACTGCTTTAGGGGTGACTTTTGAGGGTGGTTTTCATCCCCTAGACAGCTTTTTCCGTGTCTCTTATTTTTTTATAAAGTATAACATATCTCAATTGCAACAAAATTGAAGGTGGACGGTTGGGCATGTTCCCTTGTAAGTCGGTCAGCATTAATGGATGAGAGAGATCTAGCCCTACTCTTGTCTAATTTTCAATGCGGACGGAAATGAAAATTTCCATTAATATGTAAGATAGGACTCTTTCATATAATAAAATTACTTCCAATATCGAACGTAGGGGACGAAAACTGAAAATTATACCAATTTTCATTCTGTAAGAGAGGGATGCAAGGAAATTATACTTTTTGCTAACTCAAATTGACCACGTTCTTTAGGCTTCATGCACTGTTTACTATGATAGCCGATAGGGTAATGATCCGCAAATTTTAAGTCAGCGTTAAAAAAATCTAGAGTATCAGAGTATACGGGAAAAAATTATAGATTTAAATTTTTACGTATATGCGTGCGTGCGTCCGTGTGTGTATGTGCGCGCGCGCGCATGTGTTTGTGTGTGTGTGTTTATACAATCAAAGATATCATTCATTTTTGTGAGAGGACACACATAAGCAAAAATAATTCTATCATGCATACATATACTCGTATCTCGACTCGTGTTCGTTGATATCGATAATTATAACATTAAATTAAAGATTTCAAATAATTACTCTATTAAATACACTGCCGTCGGACGACTTTTGGCCACCCTAACCAAAATTAGCAAAACTTCAAAGTTTTATATCTTGGCTCCAAAACATGCTATAGCAACCGACGGGATATAATTTTAAAGGTCTTTTGTAGAGCTTTTCAACAAAATAAAATACATATATGATTTTCCTTTTTTTATGAGTTGTGTATCATAAATAAAATTAATTTTTCCGTTTTTTCTCTCGAACTTTAAAGCGATGTACTTTTCGAGACTTTATCGGACAAGAAAACTAGATATATTATTCAACAGCTTGTTTTAAAAGCTACAAAATCCATGTATGGGAAAATTTTTTTAACTTGATTTTTACGAGCTACAAATCCTTTTACAAAAAACTAACCTTTTCATAAAATTCGTTGTACCTCTGAAAGTTGTGATTATAAAAAAAAATTTAGTAGAAAAAAATATTTTTTTTCAAGGACTAACTGCTGATTTACTTGAAAAATAAAAAACGATTATTTTTTTTTATTTTTTAATAACTTTTTTAGACATAAAAATGTATTTAATGCATAAATATACATAAAAAAGAAAATTCTGATTATTAAAAATGAAAATAACACACAATAGCTATATTAATTTGTCAATATAGAAAAATTCGCAATAGAAACAGTCTTTACATTTTTTTAAATTTATGATTCGAAAGCTTTACAAAAGACCTTTAAAACCATATCCCGTCAGTTGTAGTAGCATGTTTTAAAGCCGAGATATAAAACTTTGAAATTTTGCTAATTTTGATCTAGGGTGAGTAAAAATCATTCAACGGCAGTGTAAATATGATTTGTAAATTGACGTTTATTTACATAGTATTGCTCTTTTACAGTTTAATATTAACGATTTTATTGGCATTTTTTTATACAAAAACAATGGACAACTGTAGTAAGGACTGATGTAGCATATTTTCTATGAAGGCACGTTATTAAAAAATTAATTATTTAACATTTAAATTCATTTCAAAGAACAAATACCATGAGCATTAGAATGATTTAAATGGATCTTCCGAAACACTTCTTTCATAATAAAATTATATTTTTTTGAAAGTATAATTATTTGTCCTTTTAATTCTTCTATTTGATTTGATAATTTATCATTTATAAACATTTGTTCTGCTAGAAATTTTGATAATTTATTGTTATCTTCTAAATGTTTCAATTTCTCAGATGTCAGGTTTTCAATTTTGAGGTTCATTTGTTCGAAGTTTTCCGTCAGAGGAATTTGATTGTATTCTATTGCGGCATATTTGTTTTGTAATTTTTGATAGTCGTTGAAAAGTTGAACATTTTTATCTGTAAGTTTTTGAACAAATTCTAGTGCTTGTACTTCTCTGTAACGTTGCATTTCTAAATCTAATTTTACTTCTGCTACATTAGTATGAAGTTGTTCCATTGCAAATTCCAATTCACGAATACGATCTTCCTTGCTGTAACAAAAACCAACACATGAGTTTTCATATACTTTAAATTAAACTCCAAGAATTAAAAATATTATGTAATGATCTATGTATGTGTATAAGAAGGCGAAAATTATTGGATAATTATGCCCAAAATGCAAATAAAGTTAAATTATTTATAAATTATAAATGATGAAACTATATCGAATTTATTACTGTGTATATATATTATTAAAGAAATAAATACTTCAATTATGTTTCTGAATCAATCATTTTTTTATTTATTTATTCTTAAATCTACATAGAATTATTCATACTAAAATATTACCATTTTTTTAAAGTTCAGTTTTATCTCTCCTGCTATTATGCAAAATATCAAATTCTAACCACTTCATAATAACTTAGTTACGAGGTCTTTTAATCATTTTTCAACTAGGTATTGTAATGCGGTACATTACAAGGCCTTCCCTGGGTGCTGCATTATTTGCAACACCTCGGAAAGGCCATCCCCGTCCCTTGCCGCCCCGTAACCGGTTAAAAAAATTAAAGATAAACGAACCCTATATAAAACAATTACCCCTTTTTATGTCCGAACAACCACGCCGGAGAGATGGGCAAAACAAACTCGTCAAACGCGATCCGACGGACGCTCAAAGAGCAGACAGAAAAAAAGGAGCGCACCACGGAAAAAGAGAGCGCACGCACACACTCACTCACATACACTCCCGACCACGTGTTCCCGACCGGCGAAAGAAAAATGCAAAACTTGACTGGGAAATGCAACGGAAATGCATGTTGATGACACATGCAGATCCGTTACACTCCCAGACACCAACACTAACACTCACGAGGCACTGACACTCCAGGGGCGAGCAGAAAATCGCCGATGAAGTGGCAGCCGGTAATCAGCTGTGTCGGGCTGCCGAACACCATCGGCGACATTCTGAGCGCCACACACAAGAAATACAGCAACCGCACACACAAACACCTGGGAGAACATCACTAAACCAACACGGGAGCGCCCCAGGAGGAGCTCCAACAACCGACACAAGGACACGAGACGTACGCGCTAGAAACGGAGCTGCCATCTTGAAGCGCCGAGACAGACTGAGAGCGAGCGAACGAGACAGACTGAGAGCGAGCGAGCGAGACAGAGCGAGCGAAGTAGACTAAGCAAGAGCGAGCGAGACAGACTGAGACAGAGCGAGCGAGACAGAGCGAGCGAAATAGACTAAACAAGAGCGAGCGAGACAGACGATACAAAATGATAGATAGAATAATATGCAAATGCGAAGATGAGGGCGCTACAAATGAAACGGCGTATATTATATACGTATCTATGACACAATAAAATTAAAATTATGATTGGAAAATAATGAGCGTGGAATAAATACCGAATTGTAAAATTCGCACGCGACCGACACCCCTATTATGATAGCGAGCGACAACTACCCCCTTTAGGTTTGAATAATAATTTAACTGACCGAATTCGAACCTTTGACAAAATTCGCTAGTGACGTCACGACTAATGAGCAAATTAGAATAAAATTTGATTTCCATCCGGATAGACAAATAGATAAGAGTAGGGCTAGATCTTTTCCAACAACTAACGATAGCTACCTTAGTGGGGGGTGAGAGAGGGTAAATAACGACGAAAGTAGGAGAGCTAAGGAGCGCGCTGTATCCTTCTAATTTACATACGGACCAATAATAAAATATTCGGAGGGCGCTACCGATATCCGAATTAGCATACCAACCAATAATAACATTTCTTCTCGGAAAGAGGAGAAGAAAAGCGATCTTTGACCGCGAGAAGCCGATTCTCGTCCATTTTGCCACTGAATATCTAGATAGAAGGAGCCTCTATCAGCTAATCTCACTGCAGAATTATTAGCGCTAGACGCCTTCCATATTCTTTTTGACAATTTTGTTTGCCAATACCGCAAGGAAAAATTGTAAGTAGGCAAAGTGCTATTCACTTTAATCGCGGAGTGCGGGGATAAATCTCTCAGTGCTGTAGGTCGTCGCGACGCGTGGATCCGTCGACGCCGGTGCCTATCGAATCGCGCTGACCTGACCGCCATTCCGTATATTTTAAAGTGAGTGTTAGATGTTACGAATGAAAATTGCGATTTAGGATTCGCACTGACCTGTCGTTAACTACTTATTACGAACGTAGGTTTAACCGAATCAAATTGTCTTGATTATTTAGTTGTGTTGATCTTCCCGCCATTTAGCAAACAGGACGTGAGCGTTAGGATTAACCAATGAAAATTGTGATTTAGGATATTCGCACTGACCTTTCGCTGACAAATTGCCGCGAACGTAGAATTAGTCAAATAAACTCACCCTGCCTATTTAATCGTGCTGACTTTTTCGCCATTTCATAAATCTAACGTACGTGTTAAGTTTATACGAATTAGAAGCAGTGGTTGAGTTATTCTCGCTGACCTTTCGCTGACAAGTTATCATGAGAGTAGGATTAGCCAAATAGGATTACCGTGCTGACCTTTCCGCCATTTCATGAACCGAGCGTGAGCGGTAAGATCAGACAAAGGAAATTCGCGATTGAGTTATTTGCGCTGACCCTCCCTCTTTGTTAATCGAAGACCGACCGGAAAATTATTAACATTCCGATTAATTTGTATCCTTACGGATTTATGAGTATTCAGAATCTTACCGACCATATTTACTCCGATCTCTTATGTGAGAATTATTAATACATCAATAAAGTGATTAATTATCTTTATATGTAAAATTTACTTTGATATCCTACCTCTACTGCATGCTAGCGATTTGATTACATTGATGCCGCGAGCGATTACATACGGGTACAACTAATTCGCTGTACTTTCGGGTCACTAGATAGGTAACATACGCGCGAATTCTAACGTCCTCACGACCTGAATTAAGGAGCCATCACCTGAGCTGCCGGCATACTATAATTAAGGAGGAAAAATAGAGAAGGAGAGTTGGACACCAAGGCCTGAAGTGAGGATACCACGCGTATCCCCCGTCTGCCCACCCTGCGCAGTCGCCGTTAAGCAGACCGGGATACGCGATAACCCTACTGGCCTTAACCCCGACGATCGCCGTAATTAGCCGACGGTCTGGCGCCCTAAATAATCGGGGGTAGAGCCAAACAGGCCTTGTGGCGGAAGAAACTCGGAGCGCAGTTAAAACCCCCGAAATTCCCTGCTACAATTGTCAGTTATCTTCCTCCATGCTCCTAATCCCCGCTACGTTCCAGAATAGTATCTTTACTCCCTCCCTTCCCTCCTCTACCTCTCTCTTTTTTCCCTATTGTTTTCGAAACCCTTCCGCCCTTTTTCCTATCATTTTTCCCTCTTTCTCGCTCCACCACCATTCTTCTTCCTCTGACTTTAACCCGATATGCTACATCTTTACCTCTTTACCTTTACTTTTTATTTCTCCCGCTTTCCTTGTTACTTCTTCTGCTTCCACGTCCAGTCCTGAGCTATGTAGATCTTTTTCTGTCCCAGCTTCTTTTTCCTCTTCATAATTCCTTCCTTTTGTTCACATGAGGGGCATATAATTAGCCACATCTGTTTTCCTCTTTCTCTTCGATCATCCCTCCACGCTGTCCCTCCTATTCTTCTCAGATTCACTATCTCCCCTTTCATTTCTAGTTCCTCCCTTAACCAGTCCTCTGCCTCTCCCTTTTTTCCCATCTTAACCCACCCTCTAAATCTGTCACTGTTATATTGTTTATCCTACTTTCTCTATCCATTTTTTTCTCATATATTCTATTTCTTCCTTATTGCCTACTTCTGTTCATCTTTGCTTCTCGTTTCCTCCTTCTATACTTTCTTTTAGTTTTACGCACTCTTATTCCAACTGGTTCATCCTCTCTTACCATTTTTCCTGCAGTTTCTTTTCTCTAAGTTCTGCTTTTTGGGCCCTCGTTCACTGCCCAGTCATATAGAGAGGGCCTATTGAATTTGATCTCAGAAAAGTGGTTCCGTATAATTAGGAATTCAGTTTGACTTGTTAAACCAAGACTTTTCCCACAGGGTATACGTATCCAGCCATCCTGGAAATATGTTCCGTCCGTACAGACTACCCCAATTTCACTAAATTTGCTACTCTACTGGACAATATCTTGGTTTTATATATCTAGATTATCATAACTTTATATATTTCTTACATTTTAAGCTTTCAACTGTATTCCATTTTATATATACATAAATTCAGAATTTTATTGTATATATAAAATCATATTATTGAATTAGCACATTAATTCTTAATATTATTTCACAAAAAGAGTCCATATGATTGGAAATAAAAAATTCAAACTACGGATATTCCATCAATTCATATCACTTCATATTACTTTGAAAAATTGTATATTACTATGATTCTAATTAATACAAAAAACAAGTAGTTTGAAAAATATTAATAGTATCAAATAAATAATGTTCATCGCAAACATGGCAAATAACTCATTTTTTTTTCATATTAAATCATTGACTGCATATTAGTATGAGAAATTGTCCATATTCTCAAGGTACTAATAACAAAAAGTAATCTGATTGTACTTATAATTTTATTAGTTCATATCAATTCAATGGTAAAGAAAGTATATTGTTTCATCATATAGAATGTGAGGATAGTTGATCCATTAAATAAAAGGGAATTTTTCAAGTAAATTTAAAAAATCAATTGTGAGCTGCTATCGTTATTATTAATTATACTACTATTTTTTTTCAAGTAAATTTGAAAAATAATTTGTAAGTTGCTACCATTTTTTATTATTTATACTACTATTTTGTACGGTCATTATAAATGATAACAATATTTAACTAAAACTCACTTAATTTCTTAATTAATGTTTTAATGTTTATAATCAAATGGCAAATCATAATAACTCATGTTTAAAATTATTTTCATATTAAAATCTTTGACTGCATATTAATTTGAGAAATTTTCCATATTCTCAAGGTTCTAATTACAAAAAGTAATCAGAATGTACTTATAATTTTATTAATTCATATCAATTCAGTGGTAAA